CATTAAAAAATCTATAATGGAATTTCTCATTAAAAATAGGTCAAACTGGCCAGGCATGGTGGCACAAGCCTTTAATCCCAGCACCCAGGAGGTAGAGGCAGGCAGACCTCTGTGAGATGAGGCCAATCTGTTCTACATAGTGAGTTCCATGCCAGCTGTGACTACAGGGAGACCCTGTCTCAAAAAGGCCAAGATAGATAGATTTAATTAATTAATTAATTAATTAATTAATTAAATTAAATAAGTCCGACATGGTGGCACACGCCTGTAATACTAATACTTGGGAAACTGAGGTAGGAGGATTAGAAATTCAAGGCCAACCTGGCCTACAGAGCAAGACCCTGTCCCAAACACCAAAAATCATGTGATGGATGTGGTGGCAGATGCCTTTAATCCCAGCACTTGGGAGGCAGAGGCAGGAGGATTGATATGGAGTTTCAGGCCAGGGGGGCTAAAGGGAGACCCTGGTCTCAAAACAGTCCCCACCAGCAAAAAACCATATGATCATCACAATAAACTCAGAAAAATTCTTTTATAAAATTCAATTCTCATTTATTTAAAAAAACCTCAATAAATTAAAGGAAACTTGTTTAACTTACTAAGGGTAAGGGATGTCTATTCAAAACCTCATTGTTACTGAGGAGACAGTAAAGACTTTGAAATTCAAAAACAAGTCAGAGAGGTCTACTATGCATTTCTATGTCTATTGCACTTGTGTTTCTAGTGAGCTTACTAAGAAAAATAGAGCCTTATGATTCAGAAAGGAAAAAAAAACTGGCATTATTAGCCACATGTGGTAGTGAGCACCTGTACGCTCAGCTTTAGGAAGGCCACGGCAGGACTGCCACAAGATTGAGGCCACTCCAGACTATACAGCATGATCCTGTCTCAGATAATAGGGAGGGAGGGAGGGAGGGAGGGAGGAAAAAGAAGGAAAGAAAAGAGACCTTATTAACAAACAATCATGATGATCCGCATAAAAAATCCAAAAGAATCTACATATTATAATAACAAGAAATTTTGATAAGCTACATGACTATAAGACCAAACTGCAAAAAAACAAAAACAATACAAAAAGCCCTACATTTCTAAACACTTGTAATAAAAACCTAGAATTTTAATTTAAACAGAACTAAGGCAATAATTTACTAATCATTTCTTCCATTACTGAGAAAGGCATTTTTATTTATTTCTCTGCTTGTTTTTGTTTTGTTTGGTTATTTGTTTGGGATTTTTGTTGTTGTTTGGTTAGTTGGTTTTGGTTGAAGGGGTGGTTTTTTGTTAGTTGGTTGATTGGTTGGTTGGTTGGTTGGTTGGTTGGTTGGTTGGTGCTAGAGATAGAGCCCAAGACCTCATGCATGTTAAGGACCTGCTTTACCATTAAACTATAATCTCAACCCCTTTTTTCTGTTATTTAATTTCTGTTGGTAAAGTGGTTCTGATATCAGTTGTTCTATCATAGCTGAAGGTGAAAGTTCTAAGTCATTTTATTAATGATATAGCTATGGATATAGATGATACATGCCACAGTGATCCTTTGAAACCTTCGATCACATCAAAATAATTCTTCTGTAGAACCATTCAATGACTCCTCGTTTCACAGTTAGATGCAAAGTCCTTTCTAAGGCCTAACCTGATCAGGCAGCCTGTTGTTTCTCCTACGTCATCTTCTATGGCTTAGCTATACTGGGCTTCTAATGTTCTTCAAAGGTCAAGCACCATCTTGTTTTGATGCTTTGCTGGTACTAAGGGATTTATGAGCTCCTTTACCTCTTTAAAGTCTTTGCTCAGATACTATCTTCTCAGTTAAACCTACTCTGACCACCTTACCTAAAACTGTAAATCACCTTCTCCACCCACATCTTCTCAAGTCCCTTACCCTGCTGTTTCTGTTGCTATTATTTCTATTGCAGTGAGTCTCGAATACACTAGATACAGATTTACTGACCATCTTGTATATTTGCCGGATATATGTTCTCAGTCAAGTGTAAGCTCCACAACGACAAGGACCTTTGTTTTGTTCAAGGGCACATCCCTAAACTCAAGCACCTAGAATAAAACCTAGATATAGAACATAGAAGATATTCAATTTGTATTTGGAGAATAAGTCAGTAGAATGCCTTTTTATTTGAAAAATAGTTTTCAGCAGTTCTTGAAGATTCAGTATCTTACAGAAACTGATGAGGGCACTGTGGGTACACAAAGGTAAACTAGACATGGTACATGTCTTGGTCTGTTTCTGTTGCTATAACAAAATAACAAAGTCTGGATAATTAAGTTATAAACAACAAACTTATTTCTCACAATTCTGAGTGATCCAAAATGAAGGTGCTGACAGACTGGGTGTCTGGTGGGGGCTTCCTCTGCTTCCAGATGGTGCCTTGTTACTGCCCCCTCACATGGCAGCAGACAGAAGGACAGAAAGGGGTGAACACTCTGTCTACCCCCCATGAGGGCAAAGGTGGAAGGGCACTAGAGTGCCCCCTTCAGCCTCTGCTTTGCTATGCTTTGTTCTGTTTGTTCTATTTATTCTGTTTTGTTTTACAACATCATCTCACTATGTAGTCCTCACTGACTTGGAGTTCACTCTGAAGACCAAGCTGGTCTCAAACTTGCACTGATCCTGCCTCAGCATCCCAGGTATGCACCATGATGCTCAGCCTAGGCCTCACCTCTTAATACCATCACATTGGGCATGAGATTCCAGCTTATGAATTTTGAAGGGCCATGTGTATTCAACCATACCAGTACCCATCCTGGCAGTCATAAAGTTGGCCAATGGAAAACAGACAGGCAAATGTTCTTTTGAGCAAAATGAAAAAATGAATGCCTTCTAATTAACACATTTAAATTTTTTATATTGTTTGTTAGCTAATAACATATAGAAATCCAGAGAAAGCAAATATTCAAGGAAAAGTTAATGAACATTTAACCTTATGAACTTCCAAAGCTTGAAAAGCTATCAAATCAGTCTGATTGCTCCCAACAGTGTCAACATAGGCCTTGCTTAGTAATTTCAGTTTTTATTTGAAGTGATGAATATACTAGAATAAAGTAACTATGATTATGATAAAAAAAACAAATAAGGTTTGAAAGGTCTAAACTAGTAAGAAAATAATTGGTGCACATAGGGAAAAGGTGAATCATCTGATAATCTGAAGGACAAATAGGAAATAACATGTAATGGGTCTATGTTCAGACCAGTGTTTGTCAGATGTGGGTTATTTTGCTATTCTGGAAGCCTCTGGCAACATCTGAAGACATTTTATTTCCACAATGGGAGGTACAGTGGGATCTAGTGGATAGAAGCCATGGATGCTTCTAAACATACTATAATGCACTAGACAGAACCCACAACAAAGAATTATCTGATCTAAAATGTTAATGCTCTCACTGTTGAAAACCTGGTATAAATTGTGTACAGCAGGGCATTCCCAACACTTGGGAGTTCAGCTATAGAAAGAGCTCGAAGCTAGCCTAGGCTACATAAAACTTTGTTTCAAAGAGCCAAAAAAAGAAAGGAAGGAAGGAAGGAAAGGAAAGAAGGGGGAAGGAAAGAAATGGAAAGGAGAGGAGGGGGAAGGGGGA